GAAAACCGAGGGCGTCAAAGTAAATTTGTCAGTGTTAGGAGCAGGGGTGCGGTGCATTAGGGGAATTTAACTGTTTTCCTCCACGAAGGGAAAAGGGGGGGGGGAAAAAAAACTGCGAGTGTAGATGTTGCTGGGTAATTAGACGTCATGGCCAAGGTTGCGGATGAAATGTCTTCTTTACTGCGGTTCTGTGGAGGCAACTCCGGCCCCTCGCGCACCATTTCATGTGCCAATGTTCACACCGTTCTTCGCTCTCTGTGGTATGGTGCTGCGCATGGCTGTGGGAGCCGTGCGTTGACTCCTTTGTTTCTGTGTGCCTTGTGTGGTGAGGGCTGGATTTCTTGCAATGCCATGCTTGTTGCTGTTCTCCGGAGTGGCGCTGGAGTTGCCGGGGAAGAGTTGGACGGAACAGTCTTTTGTGTGCAGAGCCGCGGAGTTATTGCACAGCTGTCATATTTGCAACGCGACGGGAGGGAGTGCTGGAAGCATGTCCGTGGGACGGGTTTCTTCTCTGAGTCTGCAGGGCCGGTGGTGGTTTCGTGCGAAGCGTGTGCTGGACGGCGGGCGCTTGGGGGTGACAGGAAGGAGCCGTGCGTGTTCCGCCTGCTGTTCCTGGCCAGGATGCTTTCTGGCCACGTGGGCCCACCGCTCTGTTTCACATTCACCTCCGTATTTCTTACCTGTTTCCGCCTTTTTCTCTTCTCTTTCCATCTCTTGAACGCAGCTTATCTTCCTTTTTTTTTTTTTTTTTGGTTTTGCGTGTGGTCCCCTTTGTCCTCTGGCTTCATTCCAAAGAAGAGAAGGAAGACAGGAGCTTCCGACGGTTGTGGCGGCAGAAGTTAAAAGGTATCACGGTCTGGTTGTGGAAAGGAATATCTGCAAGGAGCGAAAAGGTAAAAACAAAACAAAACAAAAAAATAAATTTCCTTTGAGGAGATGTACGTCGTGCTTTTTTTCGTTTTATTACTCTCCGTGCTTGGCGTTGATGCAGAAGAGGAGGACGTGAGGAGAAACGATGAGGTGGTAGCGCGTCTGCGCGAGGAGTTGGCGGAGGAGGGCGTTGAGCCGTTGCCAGAACCGCCCCGAGAACTTGGTGTTCATGCCGCCTGCGTGAGGCACGGCGTGGGATGCCCGGACGAATACGTGGAATTTTTGGAGTCGCTGCAGAGGACCCCACACACTTTTCCGGAGACGAAACCGAGAAACGATGCAATGAGTGCGGAACGGAGCGGAAATATGCGGCGCCAAACGCCACTCCATGGCGCTGGAGAGAGAAGGGCCTATTCAATTAAGGGCGAGGATGCTGTTATTGAGGTTCAACTGGAGAATATGCGGCGCCTGCGTGATGTAATGCGTGAGCGGTTGGCCAAGCAGCAGTCGCCCGAGCAACAGTGGAAGTGCAAAGAGTTTTTGTGGATCAGCAGAGGGCTGAAAATGGTTGAGGCCATGCATTCCGTATTATTGCAAAAGTACTGGAATTTTGTCATGAATCAGCTTCTTCCATGCGTCCTGCTTGTTTTTGTGACAGTGTGGGTCTTTACTGGCAACCGTATTCCGCGTGAGCACTTGCGCAGTCTCCTTGCCGATGATCCCGTCCCTGTCTTCAATGAGGTTATAATCCGCCGCAAGTCGCCACAATCCGTGGCGCAGCTTGTGATGGAGCGTGAAAGCCACAATTTCTCCAGTATGGTTGACATCGATGATGGTAGCAGCAGCCCCTCTGCCGTCCCTAATGGCTTTGCGAAGGAAAAAGAGGACTCCATGCGGGCGATTATAAATTATCGCCGTGATCGTTGGTTTGCTACCCGCTTTGCCCTGCTTGAGGCGTACCATGAGGCCCACATTGCGGGGGTAGTTTTGAGACTTCGCCTAGCGTTAAGTGCAGCTGTTTTGCTGATGCTTTGCTGGACTCTTTTCTCCCTCGTGCTGCGAGCTTCCGAGGTGCGCAGAAACAGTGACGGTGGAATAATACAACACCTATTGGTTATGCTCTTTCCGTCATGGGTGACGACCTCTTTCGTACTGTACATTGGCTGGTCGTGGATTGGCGGCATGGTGGCGTACGCCGCGTGGGAGCTAGTGTCTACTGGGGAGGCTCTGGTGCGCACGGGTGAGCGTGCGGCTGCTCTTCATGAGAAGATTCTGGAGCGCTGGTGCGGCTGAACGGGAAGCGAGCGAAGAAGTGTGATTGGCGGACAATGGAAGGGGTTATGAAGGAAAATAAAAAGAAACACAAAAAAAAAAAAAAAAGAAAAAGAAAAAAAGAAAGAAACAAAAACAAAAAAATGGGAAAGAAATTACGTCTGGTTGGGGGAGGGAGGGGGCAACTAAGTGTGCGTGACAGAAGTGACGCAGTTCTTATCTTCTTGGAGAGCGGGGGGAGTGCGAGGGGAACAACATCACAATGCACCTAAAAAAATTTTTTTTATTATTATTTATCATGTACAGTTTGAGGCGCTATTTTTTTGCTACGGTTAGCAATGCTCCTCTCTACCCGTCCCTGCTTTCATAATGCCCTCGGCAAGGCTGGATGTATGGAGATTTGGCATTGTACGTGTGTACACATTCACCCACCCACACATCTCACGTAAATACCCGCAAACGCTCACACGTAACTGCTCATCTACAATTTTTTTGTTTGTTTTTTCTGCTGCGCAATAAACTGCAACGAACAATAACTCTTTCCTTCAACAACAACAGAATAGGAGGGGAGGGACTCCCTGTAGGACGACTGGTGGTCAGGGGAGAGGAGGAAGGAAAAGCGTACCGGGGGCAAGAACAAACTGCAGGAAGTAAAGCGGCTGCACAAAATATCGGAATGACTACTGTGGATCAGGTGGTGGTGTACGCCGATGTGCGTGACCCACAGCTGCTAAATCAACTCACCGCGGCTGCCAGCGCTCTGTGCAAGGATCACACTATCCATTCACCTTCTACTTGGAACTCCGCGGACCCACTGTGGTTTTTAAACTTTTGGGAGAAGGAAAGGGATGATGTTTGGACATACGTTAATAATAAAGTCCCGTTCTTGCGCCGCTTCGAGTGTTTTGTTACGGACTCAAAGGATCAAAAAGATGGGGTTGTGGCATACGCGTTGTATTATCGACAGATGCCCGTGCTCTCACTTGTCACAGCCGTCACTGGCATTAAGGAAAAAACCGAGGTGAATGAGGACTGGATCACCACCGCGCTCTACCGCACAGTTGCTAGGATGGGCTGTTCTTCTCCCAGTGATGCCATTGCCGTCTTCTTCACCTTCCCGAAGTCTGCGGGAAAAGTATTGGCGTTGGAAGGTGAGTGCCGCGCGCTCGTGACGGAACAGTGCCGGCTGTTGCGCGACTACATACTCCGTGAGCGGAATATACCGGTGGAACTCGTAGGAGCCGGTGGCTGCGATTTGAGGAGCTCCGATTTAGTTGGGAAGGGAGCGGCGACGGCCGAGGAGGAGGAGGAGGAGGAGGAGGAGGAGGAGGAGGAGGAGTCTGCTCTCTATGCCTCATTGATCGACGATCTGCTGAGCAATCCCGAATTTCTTCCTCTTCGCGAGGTGGATCCGCAGCTGCACGGGGCTCTTTGTGCACTTAACCGTCATCACAACCTCCGTCTTCTTCGATATCGGCTACAGCGTGGTATTCATGTCATTCTTTCTCGCCCGATGTCGTTCGTTCTTGAGGAGCTTCTTCGATTTTGTGGCCCGCAGGCGGTGCCACCGTCAACGATGCTGGAGGGCGTTGTAAAGTCGATACAGAACTTTGAACACCACTGGCTTGAGCTGCCGAGGCCGGAGGTGATTCTGATCCGCGTAACGGGCGACGCGGCTACGAACGGCGAGGCATTCGCCGCGCCGAGATGGACAGCATGCCTTTGGGACGAAGGGCAGACACCGGCTCTCGACACGCTGTCGAGTTGGCACGTGGTGACGGTGGGGGGTGCTGAGGGCGGACATCGTCAAACACTGGGCCGGCTCCATGATGGGGTGCGTGACGCGGCGACATCCGTCCTTGCACTAGCAGTAATGGGAAATACATACATAGAGGGGGGGAATTCGTGAGGAGGCGTGTAGACGCATGGGTGTGAACAAGGAGGGAATCAGCTCCCTCTTATGTTCATGGGTTTTGTTTTCCGTAACTTTGTTGGTGTTTTTGGCTTTTGCGTTTGTATGTTTTCCACTCTTTACCTCGCTGCAATTGGCAGATGTGTCATGCATGCGTTTGATACTTCTGTGGGACGTCCGACCTTTATTTTTTTTTTTTCCTTTGGACCTTTTGTTTGTTTCTGGCACGTGCATGTGCATTGCTTCTTTATTTCTCTCTGTGTACGCGCTTACATGCCAGGAGAGCGGGTTGTGGGCCAAATAAGAAACGAATTTTCATATGGCGAAGATCAACGCGACATACAGCTCCGGCTACTACCTCGCACCCGACACCGACTACCGCAAGCTCGAAGAGGAGCAGCGGCGTGAGCGGAAGCGGAAGCGGCAACAGGAGGGGGATGACAACACGGGCTCGTCTTCTGCCAGCGGGGCCATTCGACAGACGTTCGCGATGCCGTTCAATATCATTTGTCTGCACTGCAATCGCCGCATTGCGCGCGGAACGCATGGGTACGTCAATCGGCGGCCCACGAAAGAGAAGTTCATGGGTATCCGCATCTGGGAGCTCGAGTTCCGCTGTATCTTCTGCAAAGGGCATATCTACTTGACTACGGACTATGAAACAGCGAAGCTGACAGGCGGGTATCACTGCAGCCGCAATTGCAGGCGCGGCGAAGGGGACTTCTACGGAACGAATCAAATCAACGAGGCTATTCGGGCAAAGCAGGCGGCGGAAGAGGCGGAAAAGGGATCACTGGACGCATTGGAGCGTGAGAATGAGGTGATGCGGCAAATACAGGAACGCGAGCGACTGATTGAGGAACTTGTGGAGTCGCGGGCCGGCACGGAGGCGGAACACACCCGCGATGAACTCCTGCAGACCATTCAGGCAAGGAAGAGGAGTAAGGCGACATGCCAACGCGAAGATGACGCCAAAGAAAATGTGCCTTTTGATGAGGGGGAGGAAGAGGCATACCGGCTCTTCGAGGCACAAATGCACGACTGGCAGGAGGAGGCGGAGCGGTTGCCAAAAGGGCCGTCGAAAAGTCATGCTGGGGATGATGACAAAGTGACCGCAGCGATCATATCCAGGTACACGGATCACGGGAGCACGCGGCCGAATGTTTTTATGGGAGAATCGGACTCCGACGCTGACACTGAAGCCGAGAAGGGTGTTCATGGGGACACGACAACACCCATGGAAAAGAGTCGAGGAATGCCCGTAGCTGCAGGCGCCAGGACCGCCGCTGGGCGCCGCAAAGGTAGTGCGTTGGCGTCCCTGTTGGAAGATTTTTGAGTTCTCTGTGCTGACTCTCATGCAATATGAGCTAGGGGGCGCTCGTGTGAGCGGTGGTGGAGAGGGCCCGTGCTGAATTGCCTGTTTTTTTCCTTTTTCTTTTCTTCTCCCCGCAACTTTACGGCAATGACGTCATGACTTTTTCCCTATCTCACTTTCTTTTACAGGAGCGTAGGGAGCAACAATAGCAATAACAGCGGCAAAGAGTTGTCACTGCTCTTGCCCACATTCACTGCAGCTAATTAACAACACATAGCCGAGGCACAAGGGGCCGTTTTTCAGTGTTTTGTCTCCTTCGTTTAATCACTAGCCGTCCTTTTGTAGTAGTAGTTGTTGTTCTGTGTGTGTGTGTGTGTGTCTGGCTGGATGTTGCATACGGGGAGTTACGGCCAGTTTACCTCCACCCCAGGAGCGGCGTACCCAGGGCACCCCGCAGGCAATAGCGCAGCCGCTTCTTTGTCATCCACTCCAAATGAGGGAAGAACAAAAGTGTTGGCACACAATCCGTTTTCCACAATGAGGGTTTCTAATGACGGCGGCAATGAACATCGCACGGAGGTCCGGAGCAGTTCGGCGCCGCTCTACCAACGCCCACCCGTGGCGTTTGGGACTGCAAGCTCACTCCACATGAATGTCATGCCGGCCCTCAGTGCCGCTGCGACGACGTCACAAGGGAGTAAGCCGCTCGAGCAACCACCACCACCATCACGACATCTGCAACAAGGGCAAGAGGAGTCGCATCAGCATCATCTGCAGCCGACTTTGTCTCCCGCGGCAAAGCCTCCCGGGTTTTCGCAACGAGTGGTGGAAAACGCTGCCGCAGCTTCCCTATTTACAACTTCCCAGGTTGCAGCACCACAGGCTGTTGTTGCAGAGAACACGAGATTCCATCGATCTCCATCTGCCCAGATTATGCGCGGTCCGTCGCTGAATAGTCTTCCTACAGCGAGCTCAGGCATCGAATCGACTCCGGGTGATTCCACAACAAAGAGATCGTTGTATTTGAGAAATTTGCTTAAAAAAGACCCGCCGGAGTTTTTGAAACCATCTCCGGGGGCACCGGCGCGGCGGCGGTCAGCTTCGGGACAAGGACGTGCAAGTAGCCCATTTGGTCCGATGCTATCAAGGCTATATGCGAACAGCAACGCCCAAATGGCATCAGACCCGCGCTCGTACAACGCAGGGACGAACGCCGAGGGACAACAACAGCAGCAACTGCAAGACTCCCTTTCTACGCCTTGTCCACCGACGCCCAATGAGGGAGAGGTGGGACCGTTATCATCCATTGAGGCTTTGGTGCCTGCTGAACAGAAAAACGATGAAAACAACGACAACGCAAACCGCCCCTCGGCATCTGTCTTTTCTGAAGCCCAAGGCAGAGTCCCTGAGGCTTTTTCGACGACGGCGCCACGGGGGTCGCAGTTTTTTCCGAGAAGCGTTGGGGTCTCCGATACACTGCTGTCCTCTGGCTCATTTGGAGCAAGCGCCACGGAAAAACCTGTTCATGGCAGTTCGATGGGTGAGCAGCAGCTTATATTCCATGGAATGAGGCCTCAAGATGCAGGCTGTAGTGAACCGTTGTTTTCGTGCTCGGAATTGAAGTCCCAATTGGTTGAGGAGAAAGGGTCAGCTTCAAATTGTGCACCAATTTCACGCATAGAGAGCAACGGGGCGCTCGGTACTTGTGGTCTAATGGACGGTACACAACCGCCGCTTGTGACACGACAGGCGACTGCTCTACCAGGGGAGGTGCGAAACTCCAACCTTCTCTCAAACGGCACCCGCATTATGGCTGGAAATCTGCCACCTCCACCGCTATCTCCTTCACCAGTGCCGATTTCAAAAGGTGGCGAAGTACCCTCATTTGCCCCACCAAAAGCGTTGGGGGTTTCGGCATATCAGGGGCTAAATACGCCGCGGAATGGCGGGATTAGGCTACAGAAGCAACTGAATATGTTTCAGGCCACACCAGGAATTGAAACTGTGGAGTGCTCACCGACGCCACAGCCTCCTTCCCGGCAAGAGTCACAAGAGGGCTTGTATGGGGCCGATGGGATCACTTCCGTCGCGAATGAAGTGCCTCCTGCGGCAGCACATGAGCCCCACGAGAACGGGGAATTTGAACATCCGCCGCAAGGCCATCAGAACACTTTTGTGTTTACTGATTTGCCTGCGACTGCGGTGGGGCTCAATGCTCCCGAATTTCGGTCCTTCACGGAAAAAGGAGGGGTGGCGAGATTTGAACCGCACAAGAACACAAGCGTGCATTCAAGCGGGCCTCAGGTTAGGGTGAGTGCGACCCTACCACTACCATCATCATCACCGTCATTGGAAAAGCCGGGTGTTTTCAACGAGAAGAAGGGCGTTTCTCTTGACGCCAATAAACATCTCCCGGCACGAAAACAGCAAAAACAACGGCAACAACGGTGGCTAAACAAAAATTTATGCTTTGCCCTAGTTACTCCGACTGGACGTGTTATCACGGTCTCTAATGTGTCACGCCCAGGTACTTTCGCAGTTATGAACTCACGGCGCCTGGTTGATGTGTTTTGTGGACGCGTGAAGGATATGAAATGCTTCAAAATTGGAGAGGATCACGGGAAGATGTTACAGATATTGGCCACATCTTCTTCTTCTCTTATATCAAACAGGAATAATGACGTGCCGCTAACCAGTCTTCAGGAAATAGTGTCGAAAATGACAGGCATATTTCCTTTGTTTCGCGAGGTTTTGCTTTTTATGTTGCGTGATCCGCCACCAGACTGGCGCACGGAGGGGCAAAAGTCTCTTATTAAGATGCTTGCCACGGCGGTGGCGCAGATGCCGATTGCAACCGGATCACGTCCAAATTATCCATTGAATTCAGAGATTCCGCAGAATTCAGCCAAGGGACTGCAAAAGATACAACAGTTATTATGCGCAGGCGAGCGTGAGGCCGCAGTGACGGTTGCAGTAGAGCACCACCTTTACTCACATGCCATCATCATTGCAATGATGTGCCCCAAGAAGGAACATTACATGAATGTCATTCGTGCTGTGGTGGAGCAGGAGTTGGACCCTTTTTCTCCCTTGGCACACGCCTACTGCATGTTTAATGAATTGCCGCTGCCACCGTTTGCACCGTCACCGTCGCAGCCGTCGTCGTCGTCATCATCACCGCCGGTGGGAGGCAAAACCGACGAACAGTCTTCAATTCGGTCCTCATGGCTTCAGCATGCGGCCGTGTTGGTCTCCAACTTTACAAAAGATAGCGCGGATGGACTGATTAAACTTGGGGACACCCTGACAAACGATGGAATGATTGAGGAGGCGCACTGCTGCTTCTTGCTGGCCCACTTGAGCCCCATGGGAACACCGCCACCCGGCCGTCCGCTTCAATCCAAACAACAACAAATCATGGATCTTCTTCGGGCACGTTTGGGCGTCCTTGGCGGGCACTATCATCCCAACCGCCTCCGTAGTGCGTTTTTGTCGCCAAAGTCAACGCTTTTGACTGATGTGCTCCAGTTCTTTCGTTCTCACTTGGAGAGCCGCAGCCTGGCATCCTCAGGAGAGAAGGACAAAAAAACACCTCCGCACGGAATTCCGGTCTGTCCGGAGCGGTACAGAGCAGCCTTTCACTATATGCAGGTGCTCTGGCTGTATGAAGTGGGCATGTGTGAAGAGGCCTTGCAACTCATGAATGATCTTCGTCGGGTTGTGGTGCCCGAGCTGACAAATGCCTCCTCATTTACGTTGAATCAACTTATTTTCAGTGGTGTTGTTTTATCTGCTGCTTCTGGGAGGGAAAAGCCGGCTCCACCCACGGGGAGGGAAACACCAGTAGGGCCGATTCCAGAGGAGAACATACCGCCCCCTATGCCGTCATTCTCATCTGCCGCGAAGACATCGGTTGGTTCTTCAGCCGGTTACCGATCAACATCTGCGCTGCCACCACCACCACCACCGCAGCAGCAAAAACAACAACAACAACAACAACAGCAGCAGCAGCTACTGTCCTCACAAACTTCCCACTTACTAAATTCATCACAACGGTCAGGGTTGCAACAACAGCCACCGGCACCATTACCGGCGTCAGTACAGGAGCAGCAGCAGCAGCAGCAACAACTACAAGTCATGTCCAATTCGCCTGCATTATGTACAAAACCGGATGCACCATCCCTCTCAGGGACGTCGAAAATTGCTCCCCAGGTATCGGCAGCTGCGGGGCCCGTCTTAAAGGGACCTCCACCTCTCCATTTTTCAGCACTGCCGGTACCAACACCTGCCGCGCCGCCTGCCATGCATTTGCCGGAATCACCAGCCGATGCAAAGAGCAATTTTGCAACAGCTGAGAGGGATACTCATGGGAAGTTGGACGAGCCCGGGATTTTGAATTCCGCCCCATTGCAACAGCCACAACCACAACCACAGCAGCAGTCACGGGGACGAGCACCCGAAGTGAAGAGGGCACAAGAAAAACCCCCGAAACGTTCTAGCTCTTTGGAGGCAATCACTAGTTTCCTTTTTCGCCGCGGTCGAAGTGAGGACAAAAGGAAAGACGAGGCAAAAAAGATGATTATTGATACTGAGAAACCCCCCAAGTTTGACCCGGCGACTGGGCGATACCTCTTTGAGGATAAAGAGGTGGAGGAGGAGGCAGAGAGGATTAGGGCAGGGCCACCCAAACCGTCGTCAATGGCAGCAAAGTCTATTGCCGCCGGAGGGGCGCCGCCTTCAATTTTGCGCCCACCGACCGGACCAACTGGGGCGCCGCGAGCGGGAACTGGAACGATTCAGCGGGCGCGGTACGTTGATATGTTCAATGCCACTTGAAAGAAATGACTGTGGAGCGAGTGGTCAATTGAAGTAAAGAAGGAAGTGATAAATAACTTTGATTTTTTTTTTTGTAAGTGTGCATCCTCTTATTTCTTTCCTGTGTGTTTCATTGTGCGCGTGGTACGGTTTTTATCAGTATTCAACCACGACGAGAGGAGGAAGAAGGAGTGAAGAATGAATGACTCTACAACCAGCCACTTTGATTATTGACGAGTGGACATACGGGCTGCGCATCCATTTCTGCCTCCAAGAGCGAGAGAAAGAGAGGGGAACATGACGAGCAATGAAGGAAAAAGGACATATTTGGACAAAACATGTATTAAAATACAGCCGTTTTTTTTTTTTTTTGACCATTTTACCTTGTTGCCTCCATTTTTATCGTCGTATTTTTATTTTTATTTTTTTTTGATTGGAAAAATTTGTGAGACAAGTGGCTACTGCTCTCTCTGATTCTTTTTTCTCCCTTGCTCTTTTTTTTTTTTTTTTTCCTTTTGCTTTTGTTTTTATTTCTGTAAATGTGAGTGAGGAGGTAACAGGCGTGCTCACGGATGCGATGTGGCTTTGCATCGTTTTTCCCTTTGATACTTTAGTGCCCTCTCAGTGACACAGGACTTATGATGACACGGTGCAATCGTTACGGCGACCGGTCCGTGTTTACTTCCCACGGCAGGCTGCTGGAGAAAATGTCATTAGACCTTTTTGAATCACCTTACCATCCCATTGGCGGTGATCCCGCGTCACAACTGCTGTTGCGAGACCATTTTTCGGCTTCTCCATCACTGTCTTCAAATGGGTGTGGTTGGTGCCTCGCTGCTGTTGCAAGTTTCTCACCCGCGCAAATCAAATGGGTTTCATTTCAGGATCTTCTCAGGTTTTTCATGTGGAAGAAGTGCTTTGCTCCAAAAGCTGTGGTGAGAGCAGTGACGACCCCCCAGAGACACACACGAGTCTCTCTAAATCGCCATTTACACACCCCTTGCCATGGACTGCAGAACAGTGTGTGTCCCGTGGAATTGCTTTCCAAGAGAGCGCGGGGTTATTGTCAAGCGAGAATTGCAATGACCCTGACGACGTGCGTGGTGAAGAAATGGGCTTGACATCCTCTCATGCCGTTATGTCTTCCCCCCCCCCCCCAAAAAAAAAAAAAAACAAAGTGACTTTTATGGCGGAGCTTCTTCCTATTTATTGACGCAAGCACCTTTGGGGAGGGAGGAAAAACGTTGTGTGTGACAGACACGGCAAGTAGAGGTCGTGGAGGAGAAGTGTGAGAGGCGGAGTTGAAAAACCGCAGGAGAGAGCGAGCAGCAACCCCCACTACATTTCCTGCAAACCAAAATGTTTTGGGCAAAACAGATATGAATGAATAATTGCAAAGATGGTGACAACAGTGATGATGAAGACGTATCTTATCGCTTTGAAGTGAGCGACCCTACCAACATGATGGCAGCCCCAGCGAACAGCGCTGGTTTTTGATTTCCATGTCCTTATACATCGTCGTGCCTGGAGACTATTGTGAATCCCACCCATTGTGTTTTGTTGCTTTGAGTCCTTTCTAAAAAAAGGGGTGCACAGAGTACGTGCCATTATTTTGCTCTCGCTTCTTTTTATTTTTTGTCTTTTTTTTTGGTTATACCCGCCCTTTTTATTTTGGACGACTGCCTGTGCGTCTTTTTGTGCTCATTTGTCCTTTGGACTTGCCTGGAAAGCGGGAAGATTTATAGGATGGAAGCCGTGGGAGAGAATAAAACGCACGTTCTTGCGGAGTCGCTCTTGGCTCATGAAATTAGTCCCGATGCGTGGCAGCAGGCGGTGCGGCCCGAGGCGAACTCACCTGCCGGACAAGAAGAAGTGAGCGGGGGCGATGGCAACCAGATCCTTTTTTCAGCTGCACTAGCCTCCAAGAAACCTCCAGGACGTTTGGTGGCAGAGCTGCAGATAGAGACCCTTTCGACGACGTGTGGACGCATATTTTTGTATTCGTGGTATTTTATGCTTTTGTTTGCGTTGTTTCTCCAGTCCATGGTTTCATTGCAGTGGGAAATGACGAACATTTGTGGGGCCACGCAAGAGAGCCTCTATAAGCTGGACAAGTGGAGTAGTCCCTGCGTTCAGAGTCGTGCGCAAAGATCCGATGCTATCAACTGGTCCGAATTTGCTGTGGGGGGAAATTTGCACGATGTTCCAGTGGACATTTTACAAGGTTCTACCATAGGAGAGGAGGAAATAACGGGATCGGTAAGGAATGTCACTATTATACCGAATGATTTTGGGTTCCGCCGTCAACGTACCCTCCGTTGGGTAGGCGATGGCCAAGGAATGCTCCTGGATTTAAAACTTAACCGTTTTGTGAGGGTCATCTTGAGCATGGCCTCGCCGCGGGATCAGTTACCGGAGGGGGTCAATTGGGAAAAGTATCCACTTATGATTGCCCTCGAAGAGTCACTGCTTCCCTCAGATGACAACGAGAGCAGCAGTAGTGACATGCAACCAAAAAAATCTGTCTTTTTTTACAACACGAGCACTATATGCTATCGTTCTATTCCGCGCTGTTCTTCGGTGGTGCTTCCGCAGACCGTGGCGGTGGCTACGAACGAGTCGCGAATTACGCTTACCATCTTTGGAGTGGATGAGGCTCTGGCAAACGTTTCTGCTGCATCTGCCGTGGGGATATTCTTTCAAAGGGCTGAATACACCATGGGTACTATTGTGTGCCGTTATGTATTTTTGTTTTTTTCCATTCTTCACCTCATTCGGTTTATTTATCGCAAGCGGTACTCGAGAACCCTTTACGAACAGCACTGGGTGATGTTCTTGCACCTGGCACTTTACCTGTACCTCGATCCCGTTTTTGTTGCGGGTATTTACGAAACCCAAGGAGCATCAGTGTATCATTTTTTTGAGTTTCACGTTCCAACCTACTTCGCGGCCTTACTAAGCTGTTTTATTTACGCATTGATTACGGCTTCCATGAGCTGGACTATCAGCAGTGAGGAGAGGGCGAGGTATAGATCTCTGTCAGAGAGTGAAGCTCTTAGGGAAACTGTAGGGCCATGTGCCGTTTTTGCTTCTTCACCCACCTTGGGGACCGCAGGTTTGGCTGTTGGTATGCCACCCGTGTTGACATCATCGTTACAGGAAGAAGAAGAAAGATGCCCATCACCAAGGGAAATTTCGCGTCGGGCGTCTTTTTCGGGTTTAAATGAGATTCGTCCCATTGAGGTGGTAGATGGTGCCATCCCGCTATGGGCGAAATTTTCAATGGCGAACTATTTGCTGGCGGTCTTTCTTCTTGACCTTGCCCAGTCTTATGTTGGAGGTTGGGATTGGGGAACAGATATGACGTGCGTGAGCTTCTCATGCTTATATATTCGCTACACCCTTTATAGCTTGATGCTGATTTTTATAATTGTTTGTTGTGTGTTGCTTGTGCAGCTTCACCGCAGTCTTGGTAGACGTCCGTACTTGGAGACCCGGCCTCAACAGCTGGCATGTCGTGTTTTCATTTTTGTATTTACGACAGCATTGATCTACTTCGTCGTGCAGGTGATTCTGATTGCCTTTCTCTACCCTCAGATCATCGGCATCGTGGCGTACCAACCGTTTACGCAGCTTTCCCCAGTAATTGTCTCCACCTTTTTTGTCAATCATATCACATTTGTTTACACGACTACTGTCGCCTCACGTCGTGTGCCGATACGCCCTGAAAATCCGCATTGGCGCCGTGTTGTTTGGTCGAGCGAATGGTATCGCTGGCTTAATCTGCACGGTGGGATATTGTACATCTTCCATAATGAGCGGCAGGAGCGGTACTTTAACTGGGTGCAGAACAAAGGGAAAAATTCCTCAGAGCCTTGTTGTGAGGCAAATGGTACTGCCGTTAAGAAAAAGCGGTCAACACGGGAAGAAGTTGGTGAGGAGGCGAATGCCGGCGCTGCCGTGCTTGGAAGTGAAGGAAGGACGTGTGAACAAAGGGCAGCTGTGGCTGAGAACAAAGATGGGGACTTCTCTTCAGAGAGCAGCGACACCGGGGCGAGCGATAACGACAGGGATTATGTGGACTCACAGACGGAGAGGCCGCATCCTCTGCGAACCCCGCGGACCCGAGGCGGGGTGGTGGAGTTTCTGGAGAAGGCTGAGCGTCACCTGATTGACCGGCCCGCGATTCTTATTGATCACCTTGAAGGGGTCCTGGTGGATCCTCTGCAGTCTCTTTTTTTGCGCCGCAGGGGTCGAATGCCCTTTTTTAACTTGGAGACTGCCATCGACTGCCTCAACTTGTCATGGGAGGCGTATGTGGCGACTGAGAGACAGGGAGAGACGGAGGGGGTGGCAGATGTAGTGGAGTTTGTAGACGAGCCTGGTGCGGGTCTTTCTCAGCGTTCCAGGCATTGCGGTGACTCATGCTGTCCTCTGTTGGGCGGGGGAGATGCTGGGATAAGAAATAATAGTGATTGTGACAACGACGACGGCGAACTGCACTTGGACAACGGCGAACATTGCGATAATCATGACATTAGGGACTCTGTGAAAGGGGATTCGAAACGGGCTGAGAGCTTTGCCGTATTTACGGGGGAAACACCATCGCCCAATTCAAGGATGAGCACGGAGCAGTACGGCTACAAACAGCTTGCCGTGGTTGAGGTTCGTGAAGTACAGGTGGTCATCACTGTCATGGACACAACGCTTCCCTGCCACCATCATAAGCATCCGCGCCTTGTGATAGCGTTTCGTGGGACGGACAATTTATCTAATGCCCGTGAGGATTTGCGTTTCAGACGACGCGTTTGGAGAGAAGTGGACCCCTTGCGGCAGTGGGGCATCAGGCAGAGCGCCAAGGTCCACACGGGATTTCTTAGAATGTGGATTTCACTAAAAGAGACGGTGCTTCGCACCGTCAAATCATACTTGAGTGCAAACCCCACCGAGGTCTACAGTATTTTTTGCACAGGGCACAGTCTTGGCGGCGCTCTTGCAAGCCTCTGTGCATATAGCTTGCGACGAATGCTGCGCCTTATGAATTATCCTCTTCTGGAGGTGACTGTTTACACCTTTGGGCAGCCAGCGCTTGGCAACAGGGCCTTTCAAAAGGCCTACGACAAGGCCGTCCCCCGCACCTTTCGTGTTGTGAACGAGAGCGACGCAGTGTCTCTCTTTACGGTTCTTGGTGGCTGTCATGTTGGTATTGAGGTTGACATTGATCGCCATGGCAACTACATCTGCAAGCCAATGTTCATTGAGCGTTGGTTCCGCCCCACGCAGGGCAGGGGATTTGCTGTAGCGAATCATACACTTTTTTCATATGCCCAATCTCTCAATGCTGTGGCAGTGCGGAACAGTGGGGGCTCCTGCAAGGTGCGTTGCCTGGAGCCGTATGTTTGCGCCAAAGGGGCGGTGCCGGATGATACAGAGCCGCATTTGGCAACTTCATCGCCGCCGTCGTCGTCGCCCGCGTAGCGACGCCCCGCTTGTTGCTTGCATGACTGTCTTTTCATTCTAAAATGACGGCAATTTCAATATTTTTCCACGGGCTTTAAAATTGCAGATTGGCGAAGAGGCGTGTGACCCTTAGGTGTAGGTAAAAGAACAATCAATATGAAACACGTGCGTGCGGTGATTTTCGTTGACATTCCTCTTATTTTTATTTTTTTTTAGCGGCCGCTCCGCGATAGGCATACATATTTTTGAGTGCGTGTGTTGTCATTTATTTATGGGATGTCATGCGATGTCAATTTTTTTTTTCTCCCTTTCTGCATTTTTATTATTATTCGAAGACTCGCTTTTTTTCCGACTTTACTGGATTGAGTGGGGAGGTGTTTTACTGGCTCCAATGCTGTTTATTGCTTCCCCACCTCTCTCTTTTTCCACCATTCAACGGCACCTTTCACACGTTTGGCTCATGTCGTGGGAATTTCCTTTTCCTTATGCTCCCTGTTCCTTTTTTTTTTTTTTTTTCATGTGTTTTTGTTTGTTTGTTTTTGAGGTTTAAGGAATCAGCACGGAACCCGTGCATTAATTAATTTATTTTTTCTTTCTCTTTTGGGCGCGTTCTTGGGAAGCGATCGACTTTGGCTGCGTTTTCTAGGCTTTTGCCAAATCTGTGGGAGGAATGAGTGAGCATCAGCATCATTCTCATCACGGTCATGTAGAGTCTTGTGCAGCCAGCTCGGCACGTGACAGCGCCCCGGTGAGTTTTGAGGGGGAACCCGAAAGACATTTATGGACCACAGCGAGGGGACACGAGGATCATCCTTCTGAGACCTTTCAGCAAGCATGGGGAGAAAATCAAGAGCGGGTAAAATCACGTGTTATCCCTCAAGCACCGCGACGGAACTTGTACTTGAGTTCCGGTAAAGCACCACCAGTTGAGGCTTCCAAAAATGGCACTTACAGATCTTTTTATTTTTCTCGTCATTTCTCTTCAGAGCCCGTGGAGCTGCAGATTGAGGGACTTTCACCTCTTGTTGGACAGACAATGTTGTACATGTGGTATGCCGTGATCATTGCGGCTGCGATTGTGCAGGGAATGGAATTTGTTTCATGGGGTTTGGTGAGCATATGTGGCGAAGAGGTGAGTGATTTGCGCCAATACGACAAGTGGAATAGTCCATGCGTAAGAACCAAACTGGAAAACGCCACAGGTGATTTGTACACCATTCGCTGGGAGGGAGGACCATATGGTGCGGCGTTTGAGAGCGCCACGGTGCGCTTTCCGAACATAGTTATGAGTCTGGCTTCACCAGATGATTGGGGTCACGAAACAGATTCCACGCGTACATACAATATACAGGCAGTTATTCCCCACGCTGCCAACACGGATGAAATATTCACATTTCCGCTTCATGTCACATGTACCCGGTCGTCTCGACGATGTGCCTTTGTTCAACTTCCTCCGGAGGCCGTTTTAAATGAGACATCGAGTGAAACCCGATCACTGACACTTCGTGGTGTGCCGGCAACGCTTGCACGCGTCGCCAACAAGTCCTCTGTTGGAATTGTGTTTCAGAGGTATGCCTACTCATTGGGTATATTCATTTGGAGGTATATGTTTTTACTTATTTCATTCTTACATTTGGTGCGGTTTATTGTGTATAAAAAATTCACAAGTACATTGTACGAGCAGAGTTGGGTGGTAGTGCTGCAGTTGGCACTCTTTTGGTACTTGAATCCTCTCTATGCGTTGAATTATTCTAAAAATAGGCCATCTTTGGTCCTCAATTCTTTGGAGTTTCAATTTCCAACGTGGTTTGTGGCAGTGTTTGTGGGGTTTATGCTTTCTGCCATTACTGCGTCGATGCCATGGACACCACCCCCGCATGGGCAGCGGCATGTGAAGTATAATCTCTTGACTCTTAGCGGTATCAAGGGTTATTTGTGCCACAGCGCTAGTGTGTACGACCCGCCATTATGGACAAAGTGTTTGGTGGTAGTGTATATACTTATTATTGTCGCATTGGACATTGTTGGGGAGTCACTGCACGTCAAGGAACCGTTAGAAGCATGGGGAGGGGGCTTGCCTTCAACATCTTATCTCTTGGCAGCATTGATTCTACTGGGGTGCCTTGTTTGCTGCGTTTTGCTCATTCACCTGCACCGCAACATGGGGAAGAAGTCATATTTGGACTCAAGACCGCAACAACTGGCCTCTCGTGTTTTGATTCTTGTCTTTGTAACATCGATGATCTATTACACTTTTCATATCATCATGTTTTTCCTGCGTTATAAAAAGATCCCCGGCATGTCGGTGACGCAGCCCATGATTCAGCTTCCCGCCATCATGGTGTCAACCATTCTGGTGAACATCATGACGCTCATATACACCACACGTAACCGAAGCCGCCTGGTTCCGATTCATCCACGGGATAAACGCTGGAAGATGATGGTATGGCCCAATACGTGGTACCGTTGGCTCTCTCGCCATGGCGGAAGTATGTACATTTTTCATACAGAGGCGGAGGAACTGAGCTTTAACTGGAATCAAATCGGGTATCGTATACGACAACACAAAGCAAAGGTCATGCGGAGGAAGGGGCGGAAGGGCGGGACATCTCATTCTAGACGTGCCGTGGCACATGGGCCGGGGCAAAATTCACACCATCCACACGCTGAAGATGAGGCACCGTCGGAAATCCCAACATTTCGGAGCCCTCAAGCGACCCCTACGGTCTCAGTTACAACTCCATACATTGAGACACTTGAGAGCCGTGATATTCTTAACATGGACGTGACCTCCACGTGGTTTCTCCCGCCCCAGACGTGCTCGCCTACCGCCCCCCCAGCGATTCAACAGAGTTTCCACAGCCGCTTGCCCTCCGAAGAAAGAAATGGGTCTGAGAGTGTTGATCAGAATAGAGTTTTACGAGCAGAAAGATGCCATAACATTCCCAATTCCCCGTGCCCAATAGATTGGAGGTGGGAGCCGCAAATGTCGTCTTCTTTACCACCCATTGCTCCTTTTCGTGAGACCGGCGAACCAGCTTTATTTGGTGCGTGGAACCAACCATTGGGTCGACAAGAACGTGCGTCAGCTCTGGCGGAGAGCGGCAACATGGTGACGTCTGCTGAAGGGCGTAATCTGGGAGAGGCCGAAGAAGAAGAAGAGGAAGAAGAAGAAGGAGCACCGAATGTGGCGGCTCGCACCATCAGTCGAGCGCGGGAGAAGCTGGACCGCATCATCAGAGGCGCGGAGAGGACCCTTATTTCGGGACCACTTCAGGCTTTTGAGCAATTTGAGACATTTCTTTTGGATGCGGCCATGCGACCCTTTCAGGATCTCGAGTATCTTCCTTTTTTTAACCTGGAGACGGCGATCGACTGCTTCAACCTGTCCTGGGAGGCCTACGGAACATCTCATCGACCAGAGGGGAGGATGGAAGGAAGGATTGAGCGGTGCACGCCATTTTCACTTTCCCGTTTGTGCTGGTTATGCTGCTGCTGCTGTTTGTCTCCTTCCTCATTGGACGGCCTGTTGCGAGTCCCCGTGGAGGATTCAGCAGAAGCGCCAGTGGGGAGTGGGACACACCCCACTGAGAACGAGGACGGGCCTCAAATTCAGAGAAGGCCCTCGGGTTACAACGATCCACCTCCCATCGATGTGGAACGCTACGGCTACCGTCTTTGCGCAGTGATGGAAGCCCTGGATGTGCAAGTGGTTATTTCGGCTCTGGACTCCCCTGAAGCAATCAACAATGGCAAGGCTCCACGTATTGTAATTGCTTTTCGAGGCACGATGAGTATGAGCAATGCCTGGCAAGATTTGCGTGTTCGTCGTGTGGTGTGGGAAGAAATGATGGAAGGCGAAACAAGGCCGTTTCAACATATGTGTTGTGGGTGGAAACCGACTGTTCATGTGGGATTTCTCTCAATTTGGAACGCGCATCGTGAACACGTCTATAGGAGGCTTTGGGAGGAACTTTCTGCCAATCCTTCCACAGTGTACCGAGTTTTTTGCACAGGGCACAGTCTTGGTGGCGCTCTTGCGACCCTCTGTGCATATAGTGTATGTAAAATGTTGCGCCAAAAAAATTATCCTCTTCTGGAGGTGACCGTTTACACGTATGGGCAGCCACCGCTTGGCAACAAGGCCTTTCAAAAGGCCTACAACAAGGCCGTCCCCCGCACCTTTCGCGTTGTGAACGAGAGCGACGCAGTGGGATTAATCCGCATGTACGGTTGTCATGTTGGTATTGAGGTTGACATTGATCGCCATGGCAACTACATCTGCAAGCCCACATACATGGAGCGACTATTTCGCCCGATGAAAGGCAAGGGATTTGCTGTTGAAAACCATCTTATGGGGAGTTACGCGGCCTCTTTGAATGCCATTGCAAGGGACACGGGCTGCCCATCCGTGGCCTGCCTGGGAGAAACCAATGGGGATGCCGATGCCAATCCGGTGGCAGTGCCAGAGCAGCAAGGGGAGCCAGGGCCTACGGGCTAAAAAAAAAACGAGTATTGCTGGGTTTTCAATTTTGCTTCAGATGTGATGAGATCTGTGGGCTATCGGAAGAAAACCGGCATTTGTTCTTTGTTTTAGTTTTTTTTTTTTTGCTGCTTTTTTTTTTTTTTCTTTTGCTTCGAGATTGCTTCAATTTTCTGGCAATACATGAAACGGTTGTTGTGTTTTCGAGCAAGCTTTTGCTCCCCCCCCCTATTGTTTACCCTCTCCCAAACTTGCATGCCCACTAAGATTGCCAACTTTTTTTACTTTTTTATTTTTTTATTTTTTTTTTTTTTGGGGGGGGGGGGGGGTTGTTTCCTCTGCTGCACGTACGTATGTGTACTCTCTTTTCTTTGTATTTGCCGGTTTCTTTTTTTTTGTTGATGCCTCCCAGAGTCTGGGGAAAAAAAGAAGGAGTTACAGCACCAACCCGTACTACGACGACGAACACCGACCGGGACTAAACGCGTAGAACATTCAGGCTTGTTTTTGTTCTTGTTGAGTGGCATTGTGGCGAATGAGCAACCAACGTCGGACGTCGCCATCACCATCCTCCGTGGCAACCACAAGGGACACGACGAATCCCACAGGGCAGGAAATATTGCAAACGGCACGACTTTCGCTGGAGCTGACAAGGGCTGACGAGGTGTGGTCTGCGTGGTACAAGGAGACGGAGGACCAGTTTGTAGACTTCCAGTCCTTTGGAGACAATAATGAGGGTGGGCTAAACGTCACTGCAACGGCAGGAAGCAACATCATGAGTGGTAGTGCCCAGTTTAGCAGTTCTCACCGTACGCTCAGTGCCCGACGGGTCAGTGGGCAGTTTGAGGAGGAGGTGATGAAGTCATGGGATGAGGACTGGGAGGATGAGGATGTCGAGGACACGTTTGACGCCATCATGGGGCAGATTGGGCGCTACGAGGCTTCGAGGGCCGCTTCTGTCCTCAAATGAGAAGTGAGCATAAAAGAGGAAGAACGGAGGAGGAAACGGCTGTCCCGAAAGAAAAAAGAGAAAAGGGAAGAATGGGGTGAAAAAGAAAAAGAAAAAGAAAAGAAAAGAGGAGATTTGCATGTTTTTTTTATAATGTTTTTGACAGAGGGAGCCTCCGCCCCTTTGCATCACCATTCTTTTCTCTTTATTACCTGTCTCAGAGACTCTCTACCACCACAACTGCCTTTTCTTCCTGCAACTGCTCTTTTGCGGCGTTCATTTGTCCCGTGAGGAGATGAATTGGAGTGTGTGAAGGTAGTTTTGTATTTTCTCCATCTTCTTTTGCATTTTTTTTTTGTTTCTTTTACATTGTTTGCATCCATGTGTTTTTCATCCATGGGCCGTGCATGAATTGCAGTGTGTGTGTGTGTGTGTGTGCATAAAAGACTCGTGCCGCTCTTTTCCTCGGGGGCGGGGTACCGGGTGGGCTATACATGTGGGCCAGGACGATTCTCCGACTCTGTAGTAGTAAGCAGCCCGGCACGACGGCACCTGCGGCCGTCGGCTCGTCGTGGATGACAGCTGCTGCGTGGGCCAGTCTAGGCAGTGAGTTTGCTGGCGTGAGCGAAGACAAATTTCTCCGGCCGAGGCCCGACAAATTCTTGACTCCTCGCGCCACCACTGACGTGGCTGTGTCGGAGGAGCTGCTGCAGTCCATGGTTGAAGAGAACGAGGAGCGGTATAAGGGCATCGACGTGCGTGACCCCTCTTCGATGGCGGTCTACGAGGGGGATCGTCCACGGTGGATGACGCTGGGCAGTCAAGTCCGAGCGGTCTCCGAGTTCATCTCGGGGCACTTGTGTCATCATATTTCCCTACCAGAGTGGAAGGCGTTGTTTGACTTGCAGTACGCAGAGATGGATTTGACCTACTGGCTGTACGTGCTACACGTTCACATGGTTAGCCGACGTGCCACCAGCATTCCTATTGAGAAGTTTAATCGCCGCCGTGAGGTGCTGGAGGAGATCCTACTCACCATGTTTGAAAGCTGGGCCGCAACGTCAGAAGACATCATGGGGCGCCCTCCGCTGAACAAAATACGTTTTTACATAAAAGACATGTATTACGTCACGGCTGTAAACTTTGAGGAGGCCCTTCTGCACGACGGCGCAGGGGCGGACTTGATGCTTTTAGGGTTTTTAATGAAATTTTGTCCACTGCCGCGGCCGGAGGATGTGCCACTCTACACGTACTACTCGCTGGTGCACTACGTTCGATTTCACACCGCCCTGTTGGACCGCATTCCTGACGATCTCATTGCGAAGGGGAACTTCAACTTTCTTTCGCCCACAGACCCCCGCATATTTGAGCGGTACGACGACGTTGCACTCGACCGCGTCATCCGCTCGTGGACGGTGGACGGCGCAAATGCTGGCGATTCCAGCGACGAGACCGGCGTTAAGTGATGGGATGGGGCGAGAGTGAGGGAGTGGAGGACTTCCGCGAAATGGGGTCGGACGAGGGCGACGGGCCGCCGTCACTCACGCACGCAGAAAACACACGTACCGTAAATGAAAAGGGGATGAGATGTTGCGGAGAAGTGAATGAAAAACAACAGCAACAACACCGAGAGAGAGAGAGAGAGGCAAATGCATACGTTGCATGTCTATGATATAATTATGCACGCAACCACCTTCTTTGTTGTTGTTGCTGCTGCTGCTGCTGCTGCGATACAAACACGTACGGACACGCGTTTTTCTTTTCTTTTCTTTTCTTCTTTTTTTCTTTTTTTGTATGGTTGTTTTGCTTTATTTGAATGCACAAGGTAGAGGCGAGCGAGGAAGGCTTAATTTATTTTATTTATTTATATTATTTCTTCTACTGCTTTTTTTTTTTATATACCAGGAATACTTGAAAGAAAATTTAACGTTCCTTTTTTAGCAGTTCTGAGGAGGGAAAAAACAACAACAACAACAAATAAAAAAACAGCACAAAACATAAATGAAGCGTGTATTGGCGAAGGATCTTTCCGCCAATGTACTGAAGCTGCCACGACTGCCGATTCCGTCAATTCAACAGACGGCTGAGCGGTATCGTACCAGCATTCTCCCTCTCAAGCCAGCGGACACAGTGAAGGCCCACTTGGTGAAACTTGACACGTTTCTTGCCGGCTCCGCTGTGACGCTTCAAAATGCGCTTGTCGAGGCCAACAAGGCGGCGGAGGCGGAGGGCGGGTACCCTTACTCTTATATTGAACCCATTTGGGACAACATGTATTTGTCCAACCGCGCCCCGCTGCCTGTGAACACGAATCCGGCGATTCTCATAAAAAAGGTAAAAAACGCGGGTGAAACACAGCCCAGCGTTGCAGCCTCCATTGTGTACGGCATCGCGAAGTGGGTGCAGAATGTACTGAAGGAGGGTGTAGAGGTGCGTGATGCAAACATGGACCTGTCACCCATGCTGCGACAGTTTGGAGCCTCATTGTTTCCAGGCGAAAAGGCGGACGAGTTTCTCATCACACCATTTGAGAAACTACGCCATATTATTGTGCTGCATGACGGTCATCTCTATGCTGTTCGTGTTTTTGACGACCAGCTGGTCCCACTGGAGCAGGCTGTGATTCAAAATTGCTTTGAGTACATCCTCTCCATTACACCGGACACGGACAACACAACACCGGTGTCCGTGCTCACCGCCGGCAACCGCGAGGTATGGGCAGGTGCATACGCAGAACTAGTAAGAACTCCAGAGAACGCAGAAACTTTGAAAAAAGTGCACGAGGGCATAGTGGTGGTATGTTTGGATTCAAAAAAGTGGGAGGAAGATGACGGTTTAAAGAATGGGGCAATGCTGCATGGAAATAAGGAAGAGTCGGAGAACAGGTGGTATGACAAGCACCAAGTCATTGTCTCAGCGGACGGTCAGGTGGCCTTTAATTTTGAACACTCCGGAAGCGACGCCGTGCAGTGGGCGCGGTGGGTCGGTGATGTGTTGCAGAGCATCGAGTCGAAAGCCGTGGCCACCACCACTGCCGCTGCAGTTGATACGACGCAAGTCACTTCTTTGGTAGAACCCCTCCGTGTCACATTTGGCAAGACGTTTGCGGGGCACATCCGAAGTGCACGCACGGAGGCGTTGGACCTCATTTCAAACACCGCCTTGGGACAGCTGCAACTGCCGTTTGGCAAAACACAACTGAAGCAACTCGGTGTGAGTCCAGATGCGTTTGTTCAAATGTGTTTTCACGTGGCTTTTCACAAGTGCCGCAACAAACTTGCGCCTACCTACGAGGCCGCCACCACCTCGTGCTTTTTCCACGGCCGCACTGAGACCATTCGTTCCGCCACGCAAGAGATGCTGACGTTAGCAGAGGCCGTCAACAAGGAGACGAAGGAAAGTACGACACCAAAAGAGTCCGAGCGAGCAGCACTGTTGGCGCTCATAAAGGCCGCATCGGATCGCCACGCAACACTCGCCAAGGCTGCATCAAAAGGTGAGGGTGTTGACCGGCACCTGACGGCATTGAATCGGTTAGCTGTAGAGCGGAACGACAACGCTGCCCTCAATTTCTTTAACGATTACACTTACAACTCATGCTGCAAGTGGGTGCTTAGCACAAGTAACGTGTCGTACCCGTGGGTGGAACGTTTCATCTTTGGCCCTGTCACGCCCAACGGCTACGGTTTGGGGTATGTTGTGGGCGAGAACGAAGTGCGCATCATGCTCTCCGCCTTCACCAGCAGTCCGTCGACGAACGTAGAAGACATGAATGCTGCCATTGGGGTGTCCGCGACGCGCCTGTACACAGTGTTGGCTGGATCTAAACTCTGAGACGAAAAGAGAGTTTGTCCACGTCACGCGCATGAGAGCGAGGCATGCAGGAAAAAAAAAAAGGAAAAAACGAAACAAAAACAAAGGAGGGGAAGGAGGAAGAAAAGTAAAAAATCGGACGATAGGGGAGAAGAGAAGGAAAATGCGCAAGAGCAACAAAACAAGCAAGCAGAGAAACTTCAGAAATGGGAAAATTTGGGAGGCAGGGGCGGAAGCATTGGCGGGGGAGGGGTCTTCAAAGGCGGTTGACGATATGGAGACGCCTGGCATCTCTTTTATTTTTCCCGCTTCTTTTTTTTTTCTTTTTTTTTTTTGTTTCTTGCTCGCTCGCCCTACCGATGTTTTCTCCTCCTTGTTGTTCTCCTCCTTACTGTGCATTAACGTAAAACGATCAGGCAAGCCACTACGCCTTTTACGGTTTGTTTGGCTGTCACAGAGGGTAATCCAGTGAATAGCGCCTTTTATCTGCTGGGCTGGCGGGTGAAACGTCGTGGAGTGGGGAAGGTGCGGCGAATGGATGTGCCCTTCTCTCCCTTGCCGGTGCCACACGGGTGAATGGCAACCAAAAACAGAGAGAAGGGGTGGATAAGGAATTAGTAGGAGGGAAGAAAAGAGGAGTGTACATAAAAAAGAAGTAAAAAAGAAAAAAAAGGGGGAAAAAAAAGGAAAGCAACAAAAAACATAGAATTGAGGAGGGCGTTGGGCAAAAGAGGGGACCCGACTACCGCATAAAGGAAGGCAGTTCTTTGTTGTTGTCTTTTTGCCCGTTTGTGTTTGTTCTTTTTTTTTTTTTTTTTGTTTCCAATTGTGATTGAGAGGCAAAGAGGGGAGAGGAGATTTCCTCCGCCATTTCTTCACACGCACTCGACACGAAGAAACAAATTTAAACACGGCGGAAAACAAAAACAAAAACAAAAACAAAACAACAAGAACAACATCAGCAGCTATCCTGAAGTAGCACTGAAATGATCATCATACATTTTTATGCATAAACCCATTTTTTGCACGCCATTGTGCCGTTGTATGGGTGGTGCACAGAGTTGTTGGAGTGATTTCCACCTGTTTTTCTTTCCACATTTTTTTTTTTTTTTGTTTGTGTGTGTTCAGTTAACGTACTGCCTTTTCCTCTTATTCTGCTATTGCTGCTGCTGTTTTTACTTTTTATTTTTGTTGTTGCCTCTAACCATTTCTTTTTTTCCCATTCACTCTTTTTGTTTGCGTGTTTTGTTTTCTTCATGGCTCTAGTAGTGGGTCAATAGGAGACTCTCCCTCTCCCTCTTTTTAATTTTTTCTTTTTCTGCCGTGAGGGTTGAGTGCAAAACGAAAAGAAGAGGTGGAAAAAAAGAAAGAAAAAAAGTTCTACCACTCTCTCTTTTCCTTTACTTTTTTTTTTGTGTTTGTGTGTGTCCTTGGCTGGTTGGCTTGACGACTGCACTGCGTTGTGCGTTGGCCATGTCATCCCATGTGGCGAATGCCAAGCAGCGAATACTCAGCAGTCTGTCGCTGGCGGGGCAAGAGGCGGTACTGTTCACCACTTTGCAGCGCGACCTCGCGTTGGATCAGCGTACCGCGGCCGACGCTCTGCGGGGTCTCATGGAGGGCGGGAAGGTGGTGCTGCGTCGCGGGAACGGTGATGGAAGCGTGTATGTCGCGCTCTCGAACAGCATGCCGGAGGGACCCTCGCTGGTTCTTGACGCGATACGATCCAGTGGGAACAGTGGGATCGATCAGGCCACTTTGTGCAGCAAGGTCCGTCTGCCCAAGAGTGAAGTCATCAAGTCTCTTCAGCTGCTTGTGGCGCAGAAGCGCATCAAGGAACGCCGCTGCTTTTCAAACCGCGCAAAGCGTATTTATCTTCTCTTTGAATTTGAGCCTAGTGATGAAATCACCGGAGGAACTTTTTATGGTGGCGAGGATTCTCGCGAGATGGATGTGTGGTTTGTTGACGGGATGAGGCGACTTATCGTGGCCCTTGTCGCCCAGCGTCATTCGGTTTCCCTGGAGCAGATTACACAGCATCTGCATGAGTCTCATGGCAGCGGGGCTGCCGGGGAAGCGACACTTGGCGTTGGTGATGCCGTGGTGGTGGTGACGGCGCTTCCCAGTGGCTCCGTAGTCACTTCAGCCAATGACAATAAAGGCGGAAACAAGCGGATTTCTCAACGCGACGCGCAACTGCTGGTGCAAACATTGGTCTTGGACGGTGTGTTGGACTGCGTGACACCCTCCGTTGGGGCGCCTCCGCAGTACCAGTTGGCAACTGGGAAAAATGTCCTACGGCACTTCACGGCAACGCCCGCTGCAGTTGGCGGCTGGCCTTCGAATGGCGTGACGACACCGCTTGAGGATGGACGTGAAGGGCATGGTGATGTTTTTGCCGGTGGATTGTGGAACCCCGCACCGGTCGCGCAGCCAAGCGCGTGGGCAATGCCGGCGGTGGGGTTGCCGTGTTTGGGTTGTCCACAGCTTTCGGTGTGCTTTGCGAGCAGCAACAGCGTCGTCAACCCGTGCAATTGCGCGTATTTAAATGAGTGGCTTAGTTGATGTGTTGCGCCCTTTCAAAAAAGGTGCGTGAACGTTGAAGTTGTTTGAATGTTGATGCTTAACGGTGGGGCCCACGGAGCTAAGGACTTGTAGTTTTGGAGCTTTTTTTTTATGGCAGCCCCGTTTTTGATTTTTTTTTTGTTCTTTTTCTCTGTGTGTATTTTTTTAATTTGGAGCTTAATACCCTGACATCGCCAGCAGTCGATTAAATGCACGCATGCGTCTTGACCTTCTCCCGTCTTTCTTATATATATACATATATGCGTTGTTTTCTTTGGCATCGTTGCTTCTGAGTTTTTTTTGCCGCCGTTGTGTCCTTGCCGACCCAGCGGGTTGACTGTGCCGCTCGGCTTGTAGGACAGCAGACAACAAAAAAGGGGGCGGGCGGGTGAGTGGCTTTTTGTGTGGGAAATGTGGCAGCACCACAACTTGAGTTCCCCGACTCTGGGGCCGCGTGAAGCGAAGCCGACGGTGCAGACCTCGCGGCGGGGATGCACGCGAAGTGACGCGTGGTGCTCTTCTTTGGCAGGTGGCGGGCACGACGATCCGTCGGAGTCGGTGCCAAACTCACGGGTGTCACCGCGCGCCTCTTCCTTCGCGCCGCCGCAACGCACGGCACCATCACCAACTGAATCGACGTCGCAGGGGTTGTTTGAATTGCAACATTTCAACCACCACAAGCAGCAGCAGCAACAGCAGCAGCGGCGGCAGAAGCAGCAACTTGTCATTCGACAGGAAGACATACGTGACGACGACTTCCAGCGGCTAGAGGTGTTGGGCGACGGTTCTTACTCCGTGGTGGTTTCCGCCCGCCACCTACCCACCCAGCAGCTTGTTGCGCTGAAGGAAGTATCGCGGCGCCGCCTCCGTGAGCTGAAGTTGGAGAAGCAGTTGCAATGGGAGATCAACGTTCACCGCACGCTGCGTCATCCCAATGTGGTTCGTATGCTGAGCTACTATATCACCCCGCAGACCGTTGTGCTTGTGTTGGAGATGTGTCCAGGCGGGACGCTTTTGCAGAAACTGAAGACAATGCCCGGTGGGAGGTTTGATGAGCGGCGGGCATCACGGTACGTTCGGCAGGCCGCGCGGGCGCTAACGTACCTGCACGGGCACGGAATTGCCCACCGTGACTTGAAACTGGAGAACATTTTTTTAGACGCGCACGGTGTGGCACGGCTGGGAGATTTTGGGTGGAGTAAAGCCCTTGTGGAGCCAAAGGTGGAACAAGACCTTTCCTCCCACCATGACAACTTTGGTACCGCCCCGTGCAGCGCGGTTAAAGACGTTTCGCCGTTGTGTAGTGGTGGCCGAGGTCGGCTGACTGTCTGTGGCACACTGGACTACTTGTCCCCGGAAATGCTAATTGGCATGCCTCACACCTTCAAGACAGATGTGTGGTCCCTCGGTGTCATGCTGGCCGAGATGCTAACTGGCGCACCACCCTTTTACTGTGTGTCGCAGCAGGACACACTCAATGCGATTCGTGAAGCAGCTCCTCATTTGGGCGATGACGTTCAAATGTCATCGCTGGCCCGTGAATTGGTGCTGGCAATGTTGCAGAAAAACCCAGATGCACGTCCAACAATGGCGGAAGTGCTACAACACCCATGGACGAGACAAAATGGGGAGAAGAAGAAGAAGAAGTAACAAGGGGAACAAACAGAGACTGAGGTGTGCGGCCACATACACCTTCCCACCCATACGTAGTATAAATACAGACCGAGACACAAAGATCAAGGCGCCGCGTCCATCCATTTTTTTTTTTTGTATTCACATTTTCTCTCTTTTTTTGAGCATACGTGTAAATATGCATTTATATTTCCGTTTGGTGTGGGCCGTTGTTTCTTCTCTGACAAGATGGAGAGAGGGAGAGAGAGTAGGAGAGGCGACACAGGTACGAGAGTCCAGGGTGCACCTCCTGTTCTGTACATTTTGCTCTAGAGTGACGGATGTTGTTGTTTTTTCCTTTTTGAAGAAACAGACACATTCCATTGGGAAGAAATATTGCAATTGGGGCACCGCGTGTATTTTTGTGTGGCCTGAGCACCCGTTTAGAGTCCTGTGTCCCGTGTGTATTTCCCGCTGCCTCTTTTGTCCCTCCTCACCACCACCGCTCTTTGCAGGAAAAGTGATTCGAGGACCAGAGCGGGAGAAAAATCAAAACACACATACACACACACACAAGAAAAAAAAAAGGGAATTAAAAGTAAAATTATAAACAAAAGGCGCCCTTTTTTTTTTTTTTTTTATTTGTCCTTCTTGTCGTGTTTTATTTGCCGGTTGTTGTTTTCTGCGTCCTGGTGAGTGAGTCGTCACAGCGATTGTCGTAGCAGCCCGAGACCCACGGCACACGGCGGCGGGAAGGCAGAAGAAACGACACGACCGTGAACGGGCCATCGTAGAGGAGGAGAAAAAACAACAACAACAAAAAACGCGTGTATTTCATTGCTTTCGATTGTTTGTGCCCATAAAACGGCATCTGGGAAGAGGGAGAGAAGGAGCAGGAGATAAAAAGAGAGTTTTCCGGAGCAAATTAACATTTACGGCACCAAAAAAGTATTAGAATCAAAGGCGGCGGGTGGTGGTGCGTATAGACATACACCCAGAACCAAACAGTTACATATATAATATATATATACGGTCTCTTTGAGGGGGGCGAAAGAAGGAGGTACAATTGGGGACGAACAGCGGAGGTTTCACGAATACACCGCACCACTCGCGTAGGGAGGTGGGCGTTATATTTTCTACATGGTTGAAATGTTTTTTTCCTCCCATGAAAGGATGCAAGTGCCGGATCTTCTGCAGAACGTCAAGCCTATTCCCGTGTTGCCGGAGAGTGTTGACGGAATGAGCTCCAACTCCCCATCAACACACGCAGCAATTCAGGAGGAGGAGGCGATGGCTCTGGCGTCCGTGACGTCGGAACCTTGCCTTGTTTTTGACTCCGAATTTCTTGTGGAAAAGCTGCTTTTGGACGAAGAATGTAGTAATTGCTGTGATGGCAACAGTGCGGATGTACACAACGATAATACGAGTAGGCGAGACAAACTCCTCCTCACGCGGGGTTTTGCCTCTGATAATCAGAGTCGTACAAATTTGTTTATAAGTAACATTCCGCACAAAATGGAACAGCGTGAGCTGGAGAATTTGTTTGCCCCCTATGGGCAAATTCTTTCAGCAGCAGTCATGCGCAATATTCACACTGGTAAGAGTCTTGGCACCGCGTTTGTGCGTTACGCCTCCACCGAGGAGGCAATGAGTGCAATCAAGGGGATGTCGGGAAAACGGATAGGTGGACGAGCGATCGCTGTTCAGTGGGCAAAGAAGCAGCATGATTACGCCCCGGTTGGGGAGGCTCGTAAAAAAATCAGTAAATTGTTTGTTCGAAACATTCCACTGGATATCAACACCGTCGTTCTCGAGGACATGTTCAATATGTACGGTCCGGTCAAGTCTGTTTCGATTCACAAGGATACCGCGCCGGACTGCGAGAAAAATTCTGAGCGCCACATCGCCTTCATCACGTTCCTTGCGGATGGTGCTGCCGAAAGGGCTGCTGAGGCCGTTCATAACACCCGACCCTTTCCAAGTTGTGGGAAAGTGCCATTGATGGTAAAACTGGCTGAGGACGCCCCGCAACGCATTCATCATGGCACTGGCAGTAAAAACTCTGCTAATGCCTTAAAGACCAAGCAACAATTACAGGGTGATATGAGCGCAATGTCCTCTGGACAGGAGCATTTTTTTGACGTCCCAGCCGTTCAACAGTGCTTTCCCACGGGAACGGGCACAGGTGCAATGGTCGTTGCGCCCACGTCCTATTTCTCATTATTGGCGTCTGGTGGTTTTATTTTGCCTGGTTCGGTTCCGGGAGCAGTAATGGGAAGTGAGGCGCCGTATCCATGGCGGACAAGGGTCACGTGGTCGCAGGGAACCGGTGTGCCATTTCCCTTTTATAATGGAGGCACTGCAGCGACTGCCGCCAATCCCCTTGCACCGAGCAACGCTTGTGCCACGCCTCCTTCTGGGTCGCCCGTCTCATGCATGAACAATGGAGGGTTTACATCGTTTCCAATGTACACGACGCCGTTTTGCTCATCCACGTCTCCAGGCCTTTCCGGAACGCAGGCTGACAGTGTCGCCGGGAGCCCTTTGATTTTGCCGAGTTCTCTTCGTCAATGAAGAGCAGCTATGTGGGGGGATCGCTTGAATACACGGCGGTGATGTCTGTCTTACAGCAAACCGATGCCGATTTCACCGAATTTTCATCGAAGTAATTTGTCTTTTTGCCGCTTGGAAGGCATAAAGATACTTTTTTTCCTTCTTGACTTGCGTGTTCCATTTGCCACAATGATCCTGCAACGATTTTTTTTTTTGGGTGTGTGTGTGGGTGTTTGGGTGAGTCTCGACAGGGCAGGCAAACATGGGTCTGTGACGGGCAAACGGGAGGACGGAGGCGGAGCAGCGTCGTGTGGCATTGAATGCGTCTTTTTTTTTTTCTTTCTTTTGGCGTGGGGATGGGTTCTCCGTGAATGGAACGGCTCCGTCAAATGGAGTAATTTCTGCTGGCATTTTGTAACGGGAGAGGAATTGGGAGTAAATTGTGTGTTCACGTTCAACGGAAACAAACAACAAAAGTGACTTTACGAGTACATGCTGTGCAAAAGCATGCGGGGAGGATGGCTGGTACTAGCAGAGGGGGAAGGGGGAAGGAAAGCGAGTAGGGAAATCAACATAAATGTCTTTTTTTTTTTGTTTGCTTGTTTCTCTTTTTTAATGTGCCTTTCCTCCGTTTGAAGGGAACGTAAACAGTGGAATAGAAGCAACCAGAGAAGAGAAATGAGTGACAATTGAAAAAACAGGGGAAATTAAGTGAAACGAAAAACAAGAGGCGTTTCGGAATGGCAGGTGCTGAAATAAAAATGAGAAAAATATATTTATATTTATTTGTTCATATTTATTTACGCGAATCCTTTTATGATGTGTGTGTGTGTGTTTGTTTTTGCTGTTTGTTTGTTTGTCAGTGTCTTTTTTTTTTTTTTTTTTGTCTTTCCGTCTTTCTGTCTGTGTGTCTGTGTGTCTTTCTGTGTCTGGGAATATGTACGGTAATTCCCATGCATAACGGACCCCCATTTTTTTATTTTTGTTTCTTCTCGCTGGTGCCGTTTTACCTTTTTTTTTTTTGTTTTATTTTTTTTTTTCTCCCCAACGAACTGTGGATGGCGGCGGCAAGGCGAGTTGTTGCTTCTGGGGGTAAGAGGAAAGGGGAGGAAGGGAGGGGGAGGAGAGGGGAGGGGAGCGAAGGACAAATTGAAAGAATAACCGCAAAAAAGAAAAGCGAGGGGAAGGACGGTGCCTCCTGTGGGGGCAATCTGTGGATTTTGCTGTCCGTCTGAAAAGACACACACACACAAACTGGCAGTGGGGCGAGTGGGGTGAAAATTTTTTGTTTTTTTTTTGTTCTGTTTGTTGTTGTGGGAGCTGTACTTTCTCCTTTTGGTTTTTATTAGACTTTGGGGAGCATTTGTTTGTTTGTTTTTTCTTTCTGCACCTCCTTTTGCCCTTGCTGTTTCTTTCTTCTCTTTCTGCTTTCTCTGGCCTTGCTCAGCCAATAATCATCCGCGCATATATATATATTTATTTATTTATATTTATTTTTGGATTGCCCCATTGCAAACGTTTATTATTGTTATTATTATTTTTCTTTTACGTCGTTTGTACATGTCTTTTTTTTTTTTTTGTTTGTTTGTTGTTTTGTCTGGGGTATGTGCGTGTACGCGTGTGAATTGCTTGCAACCAAGGGCTTTTTTTTTTTTTTTTGTTATTCTTGCCTGAAGGACGCAGCTAAAAGAATGAGAGGAAAAGGGCGGTGAATCATCGTTTTTTATAATTTGCGGGTATACACACACATATATATATATACAAACATATACACACACACGTATATATTTACATCAATATATACGCATATATACACACTTATGCATGTGTGCACGCACGCAAACACGAGGGGGACGGCGGTGGTGGGCGGATACGAGGGGTGCGGGAGGATGTTATATATATGCATATATAAATATATATGTGATTTACGTTGATGGATCAACTTTTGAGCTTTTTTTGTTATATATATATATGTATATATATGTATATGTATATGTATACTTTTTTTTTTGGTTTAGCTGTCTTTTTCTTTTTCTTTTGTTTGCGTGCGTGTCTTTTTTTTTTTTCTTTTTTTTTTGGCAATTTGTCTGGTTGTTTTTTCGGCGCCGCTGCCGCCGCTGGCTCTTTGCTCTGCATCGGTGTGCAGGGAAAAGGGGAGGATGGCTGAGAGGAGTAGTGCCACCGCGGCTTTTTCTTTCCTCCCTCCCCCGGTGGCGGCAGAATTCGGGTCGGGAATGCGTGTACCGGGTGAGCCTAATGGCGTCTGATATGTCTTTGCGGGAGGAGATCTTTTTTTTTTGCTCGTCGGTGCACCGCCTTTTTTGCCGCTGCCGTTGTGTGTTGGTGGTCGTTTCATTTCATTTTTTTTTTTTTTTTGCTGCGGAGTGCCGTGCACAAGTACACGCACAGTGAGAGGGACTTTTAGCGCGCCGCAAAAGGCAAGGGGAAAGCAGCCGAGGGTGTCGGAAGCGCTGCGATGCCGCCCAAACGCTCAAAGGGCGTGACCTTCAAACTCGTCCATCCGTCTTATGATGACGCGGAGTATGAGGGGGCGAAGAACGTTGCCATCATGGTGGAGGAGCAGGAACTACGCAAACACCTGCCGACAACTGCCACGCGTCGCCGCCGCCAGCGTGCAGAGGAGAGCGACGAGGAGGAGTCGGCGACTGTCAGTGGCTGGGCGCGGGAGTGGGCCACCACCACTTCATTCGCCTCTTCAACGGCACAGGCAGACGCCGGGCGACTGCCGGAAGAAGACGCGTACATGAACAGGCACAACTTTCTTCGTGCACAGGACTCCGAAGACGACGAGGAAGATGATGATAAGTTGTTTGCGGATCAGGAGGAGGTGGAGTTCACTGATGACTTCCTGCGAGAGGTGGTTTTCGGCGACGGTGACGAGGAGGACGGGGAGGAGGTGCGGAGTGCGGGTGGTGGCGCCAAGAGCGTCACGGAACACGATGGGTTTGTGTACGTCCAGCACGACGTTACGAAGAGGGGCGTGGACCGACAGTTTACGCAGATGATGCGGGAGTTTAACGTCGACGCCCGCCTCAACGACGCCTACACGGACGATCCTCGTGCCCACGGAGCTCTCGGTGTGGATCAGTACATGCGCGCACTTGAGGAGTTTGTGGTTGAGAGGGCCGGCGTCGACTACGGGACTGCCGAGCCGCGGCGCAACAAGGGGCTGATCCACCAGCTGCAGAACATGGCCCTCTCCGCCGGGACGGACATGAGCCCCAAAGGGGAGTTGTACACCACAACCGTTTTGCCGGACAAGCAAGCACGTTTTCTGGAGGAGTTTCAACGGGAGGCGGAGGAAATACGGCAGGCTGCCCGTGAGCGCATGCAGAGGCAACAGTTAGACGGCCCGGCCGGGAACTTCGAGGATGCGGTGCAGGCGACAGAGCAGGATGACGATGACCACGAGGTCTACGTGCTGAGGGAGGTGGAGGATAAGGAAAATCGGCTAGATTGCGAGACGGCAGTCTCGGCGTACTCAACGTACTTCAACCAGCCCAACGTTATTCGGGCGCCGTCGCCGGGAAGGCGAAGAAGGAGACATGGGGACTTCTCAGCAGCAGCGGCAACAGAAAAAACAACGGAAAACGGAAAACCAGAGGATGAAGACGTGGTGTCCAAGCGAGGCAAGCAGCTGCTCGCCCTCGCGCGGCACAAGGGGGAGACAAGGGAGGAAAAGAAGATGCGGCAGCAGTTGGCAAAGCAGGTACAGCGTGAGCGACGCGACAAAAAGCGGGAGCTGAAGCAGGCGTACAAGACTCTTGAGACAGATGAAGCGAAACGTGTGAAAGAATCTCAAACCGCAAAGAAAACGGTACACTTCTTCTAGGAGTGGTGCGTCTGTGTGTGTGCCCTTTCGCCGCAATATGGGGAGCACACATGGCGCCTTATCCCTCTCTTTCTGCTGCCTGCTGCGTGTGGGTGGCGTGCCCCTTCTGTTTCGACTAACCCGCCTCACGGAGAGCAGGCAACAATAACAAGTGTTGGGGGGCTCAAAATAATATATATATATATATATGAGCGAGTAACGGAAGAAAACAAACAATGAAATCTGCTCTTTATTAACATTTTTGGTGAAGCATGTGCAGCGGGTGGTTTGTCTTTGGACGCTCTTTTACGTTCCTCATTGAAGAAGGTTACGTACATCATCTTTCTGTCAACTCTTTTTATTTTTATTTTTGGATTGCCTTATCGTCGTTCTTTTCCTTTTCCTTTGTTTTTTTTTTTTCCTTTTTGTTGCTTTGCCCTTCAGTCATACTTAATAACACTGCGTCATCAAGGAGGCGAAAGGAGATTCTTGCAGAAGCAGCAGCGTCCACACCAAACTTCGCTAAAGAAATAGGGAAAACATACGGAGTCAACAAGGCACAAGAGAAGAAAACACCAACAACAAAAACAACGAAAAGGATCCACCAGCGGCAGACCAGGGGAAATGCACACAAGTGAGCAGGAGAAGCCTGGGGATATTGTGGAGCATCCCTCTGACGAGATGTACAGCCACGCGAATCTTTTCATCCGCCACTTGCCACGCGTCGTGGATGAAAACGAGCTTCGGATTTTTTTTTCTCCGTATGGGCAGATTCTCTCCGCGGCAGTTATGCGCAACATTCACACCGGTGAGAATCTCGGCACTGCATTTGTGCGTTATGCCACGAATGAGCAGGCCCGCACCGCCCTTCATGAGTGCAACGGTCGCTTTCTTCACGGCCGGGCCATCTCCGTGCATTGGGCGAAGAAGCGGCACGACAACACCCCAATTGGTGATGCCCGCAAGAAGATCTTTAAGCTTTTTGTGCGCAATATTCCGCTTGACGTGTCCGCGGACGAATTGGCCCGCCTGTTCGCATGCTTCGGCCCTGTCGGCAGCGTCTCGCTCCACAAAGACACCGCCGTTCCTCGAAACAAGTGGATGGAACGCCGTATCGGTTTTGTGGCGTTTCTTGCCGAGGGTGCCGCCGAAAAGGCTGCAGAAGCCGTTCACAACACACGTCCGTTCCCTGGCAGCGGCTCCATTCCACTGATGGTGAAGCTGGCAGAAGATGTGCCGGCGCGGAATCGGCGTCCAGGCGCAGCCGTTACGGATTCAATTCGGCGAGGAGGTGCACCGAACGATATGGTGAGGACAAACGCAACCGATAGAACTATGACGCGTGCTCCAGTGGATGAAGGGCGCGTAAATTGTTGCCGTTCAGACTTCTCTACTTGGAGTTTTCTGCGATGGTCGCGGTGCAACTCACCACAACCCACGCAATCAGCGAATACCTCTTCTACAAATTACCCTTGCAATTTGATGCCGCAACCGTTTTACGGCTGCTCCGCGGTGCCAACACCCTCTCCTATGAGGGAATATATTTTCTTCCATGAAGCGAACCGGCAACGGGTGTGTGCCCCAGGGATGCCACCACAAGATCATGCCGACGCATTCCTGCAACAAGCCCCGTGCCTCCCACAACCGAATTTCTTCACCCACGCGGAGAAGGATGCTGCTACGTTTCACAGCCTGGGTGCCCCACAGAAAACATTGGGGAGCAGTTGCTCAAGCTTGTGTCCAGCAGAGTCCGAGGAGGCGTCCACACCGATTGCAATCCAGTACTTTAACGAATGGAGCGCGCGACCCGCAACGCATGATGGCTCTGCCGCCTCACGACAAGGAGCACCTATTACTGCCTCCACTTCTTTCTGCTCCGCTTACGGCACAAACATAGCTGAAGAATCCTCTGTGAGTAACTCAACACCCACGGCGACTGAAGGCAGGAAACGTTGTACGCGGTATACACACAACCCCTACCGGTTGCATCAGCAACGGCTCTCCGAATGCCCTACACCACCTGTACCAGTGTGATTTCTATATATAAACATATATATATATATATATTTGTATATTTATTTATTTATTAAGGGGAAAAAGGGAAGAAAACGCGGGATTTTTAGGGGAATTGTTTTTTCAACCTTTATTTTTATTTTTACTTTTCTCTTATTTACTGTTGGCAATCGACTTCTTTTTTTTTGTTTCGGGTTTTTTTTTTTGTTTCGGGTTTTTTTTTTTTTTTTTTACTGTTTTACGAATGACTAGAGAAATTTTGTTATGTTTTCGTTGATGCTGCTTCTGCTGCTGCTTGGGATTTAAGAATGCATTCACTAATTTGTATATAATCTCTCTCAGCCAGTCAATGCGCTCTTTTTTTTTTTTTTTAGGATCCATAGCCATGTTAGTGTATTATTTGGGTATTCTTGCTTCGACTACTGTTCTCTTGTCCTTATACTTTTTTTGTTTGCCTTTCTGAGAGTAATGAAGACTGTCTGCATGTGGCTAACTGATCACCGGCTTCTACATATAAATATATAAATATATATATTTGTTTATATTAATATATATTTTTGTTGCTATTTTTGTTTCCCCTTTAATCTCTTTTTTTTTTTTTTTTTTTTTGGTCTGCCTTTGCAGCGACAAGAGGAGGTGAAGGAAAGCAGTGAAACAGGAATGAAACGGCATGAGCATTCATTTCTTTTTATTATTATTATTGTCTTTTTATTATTTATTTTTATTTTTATTTCTTTTTTTTTTTTGTGTATAACTTCTGTGTTGAGGATCGCGGTGTCTGCGGGGGCGGGGGGTATTCAATACTTTTTCTGGCAATGGGTGGCTCAGCGGGTGCGTGAAAATCGTCCACGTTCCGTTATAGAACCCACACCCACCTTTCTCGTTGTTTGGGTGCCGTGAGAATTGCGGGAAGAGTTGGGGGAGGGGGAGGGGGGCTACACATCCCAGTGTGCATGCATGCGTGGCAAGGAAGGGAGGAAGGAGGGGCGTCAGTACGACAGTTTTGTTTGGTGCACGCACATCGTAACAAC